ATTTGGACACCTCTTATATTGACGTCGACATAAATCCGACTTACGTGCGAGTCACTATAAAAGGAAAGATTCTGCAATTAACCCTACCCTGCGAGGTATCGGTTGATAAAAGTAACGTCCAACGGAATACGACCACTGGCAGTTTAATGATTGCTATGGCCCGATTAATTCCGTGCACAACAATCGTCAAGAAGGACGAATCAACAATAAAAAAGAAATCTAGCGAATCTAAAACAAAGGTGATCACAATTCGACCACCGGTGACTTCTCGACGAGCTCTTCTCGAGATCGGTCCACCTACGGTCGTTTACAATTTTCTGAAGATAACCGAAGATTCCGCGAAACAAACACAGAAGAAAGAAAAAAAGAATCTCGAAGATTTCGAGGACAATTCAGACGTACCACCTCTCGAATAAACGGACATGAATAAAAAAATCACATAAATATGACAATGATCTCTCGCAAATTAATCATCGCGTTGATTTGAAACTTACTTTAAACGGATCTCGAAAGTCAATGTCTTTGGTCTCTTTGAGTCCCAATGGTATCATCGGCATAACGGGCTCAGCGCTGAAAAACAATACCGTATATTGAATATCGTATATCTTCATATCAGTAAAATTCATAATTTTCTTCGAATTTACCCATCGACATTTTGATACAGTTCCACTGAACTGTTCAATTCGGCAAGCTGTTCCTTCAACAACTGCAGATTCGAGTTGACAAAGCTTAACTCCAATGCGACGGTCTCTTTCAATTTTCTGTTGGTCGTCGCCCTGTAATGTGATTAATAAAAACTAAAACAAATGCAACTTCGCGGAGAGAATTTTCTTTTAAAATTTACCCTGAAACTATGGTAGTTTGTGATACAATAGAATATTAAAAAAGTTTTTACCATGCACACTTCAGTAAAATTAATCAAACTTATTTTGTATTTTATTGTAGTTTTATTAATGAATGAGAGATTTAGATTAAAATTCTTCGAATTACAATGTTGTCCCACGACTATCATATTTTCAGGGAAACTCTAAGAAAAAAAATTCTCTCCTTGTACAATATATGCTAAGGTAGTAGCGAATTGAAAACAGTCAGAATTTCTTGAAATTGAAACTATATGTTGTAGTGGACCTCATTGCAAATTGTTGAACTTTTTCTTGTATATTTTCCCATATATTCATATATTGCTTAAAAAATAATTATACAAAAATTATAGATCGCATACATTCAATTCATTATTTATATTTATATTTATTATTAGAGGGAAAAAAGTATATTATGAAGTATAATAGTGTATTAAGTATGTTATTATTATAGTAAATATATTATTATTACGCTTATTGCTACCTTTTACAAACAAATAATCGATTCTTTTTAAAACAAACGCATTAGTACTTAATACTATTTTTATGAAAAATGTCAAAACCGCATTAAAAACATATTAATATAAAAAAAAGTTTTATAATTCATCGCACAGTTTGTTAACATTGTATAATGAGCATTCGCCCTTCTTTTGCAGCTCTCTTGAAGCTTTCTTTAGTAGTTTTCTCTAATGCTGGTCCAATTTCTCGCTCATGCTGTTTCAACAAGTTTTTTGACATAAAAAGAATGTTCAGACAAGCTAATATTTTGTACCCGAACCCAGCATATAATATGTACATAAAAGTCATACAGTCATACATACAGTCGCGGACACTAAAGTCGTGACATTTTTTATTTCGATGGTTTGCGGAACACTCAAAAATTTCAAAAGGTGAAATCAAGAAATCTTATGCGACAAAGATATTAAATGGATACTGCAAGATTAAAGTAAATATATAAAAGAATTAATATACAACTTTGTTTAAAAATTAAGGATGAATAGATCGCTTTGTCACTATCATGTTCTAGCTGGGCATAGCATGTATTCGGATTTCCATCTGGGTGCTTCTCGGATGTCATGTCATCATTGTTGTTTATCGAACATTAAACAAGGACGACATGACACAATCGATGGACGAAAATGATGGGCAATTCAATTAATCAATTTTAAATTCTTCTTATTCAAGAATTATTGCGCAGTCTTAACATTTTAATATTAGGATTTTCGTCTCGAAATGCTCTCAAAAATTTGCTATTAACAGGCAATGTCTGAGAAACCCTGTATATAAATTATGTGTAAATGTATATATAAATTACATATATATTGTATATTGATTAATAAAGTAAAGATTATATTGTACATTAATTAATAAAATAATGATAAATTACATAGCTTACTTAAAAAGATTCTCAGCGCCCGCTCGCAACCGTAGTTCCTTGTTGATCTCTTGATTGAGTTTACTTCGCTTGTTCTGCAGTTTTCCTCTGCAGGTCGCTACCCTCGGATCCGAACCCTGCGAACCATGAAATGCATAGTTAACGATGTTTCCAACGTATCATGTATGGCTCGTAATCATACTATAATCCTGAATCCGCAAAGATTGCTGCACGATAAAGACCAGTTCCGCTAACCATGTTGATCAACCAATTCTGGTTAACAATTATTATCTATCCTCTTTTCGGATTATAGCCATAATAATAAAAACAAGGCGATAAAATTTTCTTAACAGTATAAACTCTATTTAGAAAATGTTCAAAGACAAGCTAACAACAATAGATGTTAAGTAATATTAATTAAATTTAATATATTAAAAATTAACGGAAAATACCTATACCTAGTTCAATTTACAAAGTCTTCATTAGCCGTTTTAGATTTACAAAAATATAAACTTTAACATAGTCAAAAATTAAACGTCAATAGAGAAAATTGATAGAGTCATGCCAATATAATAAGTATAATGTCCATGAGGACTGGCATGACTTTAATTAATCCACATTGCATTGTAATTAATAATTTCAACAAAAATGATAATTGCTTTCTTGATATCCTCACTTCATTAAAAACTATTAGTACATATTAAAAGATCAAGTAAATCAAGATATATCAAATACGACAAAGAACGCCATCATTTCGGTCAAAGTTAGATATTTCAAATAATACGTATATATGTACATATTCTTTATTAAACAAATTTATTTTAGGTATGATTGCGTGCCGACTTTCGGACACTTTCAATACAATCAGTCTGAAACGCTATTCCCCCCTAAATTCCCTCTAAATTAAATTAGAAAAACTATAAAGAACTTATTATTAAAATATTATCTTAATCAGAGTAAATCAAGATATATAATCTCGTAATAATTTTCCTCGTTATTTAATTTTAAATTAATTATGCACAATTTTCTAATAAGAAACAAATTAAGTAAGTTGCAAAACAATTAGAAGAACTGACTGTATGAATAAGAATAAAAAGAGAGCACATATAATAAAAATGATGATCGAGAATAAAATGACAATTAACGTTTAACTGTGACGAATAATAAAGGCCAAATGTCACGATTACTTTATAAACAATCAACAAACATTATTACAAATTCTATCAAATATTCGTACGTTAAACACGTGATTCATCTAAAAGAATCGTAACATTCTCATTTGAATTAATTCTGTTTTTTTTTAAGCTCTGTGAATCATCTTCGATATTAGTCTTCAATATCTTTTCATAATAGTTTTGTTCAGTATTTTCACACCTAATACAACGTATGATTAAATTCTAGTATATGACTTGTAATAACAAAGTGCTTTGTAATAACCTGAAATGTCTTGATTTAAATTTTATTATTACATTCAATTGAATCTCTGTCTGATTATATCTCTTTATAAAAATATTTAATTTATTTAATATTCTATATTTTTTCAATCAAAAATTTTTTTTTATGATGACTAAAGGTACTATTTCCGAAGCATTTTTAATATATGGAAAAATTATGATCCTTCTTTTATTATTTTTATCATTATATGAAAATAATACAATTTATGAGTAAGTAGATAAATAATAAAAAAAGTTATAAAACATAAAATTTAGGATAAATGAATAAAATGTACGCGTTAATTTAATATATTATAAGTTAATTTTAACATATTACAATTAACATTACTTAATTTGCTTCTAAATTAAGTCAAAATATTCCCAGACAGCACTACGTCCAAAATACGGATATAAAACGTCTTGAAGATGTCTTAAAGATTGCTTTAAGACATCATATTATAAAACGTTTTAATGCAGCGAATCAGTAATTGTAATTTTGTATTAATTTTTTATATAATATTTTTATATAATATTTTTGTATTTTCTAATATACTTTCTAATATATTCTTCTTATGTTTTAAATATAAAAATTTAGATAGACCATTTGGAAAATATGAGTTGTTTTAAATTTAATTTATGTACAAATTTTCTAATTGTATCTGATAATTAAAGTAATATTTTTATAGGTTTATATATTTATATAGATTAAGATAATATTTGATACTCAACGATATCAAAGTCACTTGAAGCAAAATAAACGCAAATATATCATAAATAATTAATTAAAATTACTTGCGCATATATTATGTTATAATGTTATTGCTCATTGCTATTGGAAATTATTGTATCTTCGGATATTACGGAATTAATGAATGCAGAAGTTGTCGATAGGCAATTCATTTCTTCGTTTTAGTTGAGATAATATAAGAAATGAACTTGAATCGGAAAGAAACGCTGATAAATGTGTGATTTGACACCACTAACAGGTGTCAAACAAAATACGAAGAAAATAGGAAGAGAATATGGTCGCGAAATATATACATCGGAAGAAGCTCACGATCGCCGTGTGTAGCCGACTGTTTTTTTTTTCAAGTTCGACTTCCTTTGCTCCTTACCCCAAACCGGAAGTACCTCCTCATGATAGCATCCGGTGTGGCGATTTTCACGTTTCGTGTATTTAGCAAATTTCCTGTATCAGCACCGTATTTTCTTCTCTCGTATATCCTTCTTTCGTCCTTCTCATCCCTCGTAGTCTCGTTAGGAACGATCACCTTTGCATTCGAGGGAACGCTCGCGCGATCCTTCGGCAATGGGCAATAATGTACCCACTTTAGCATGATCGACAATGATCTTGATTGTACCATCAGAATTGAAACTGTTCTCGACGCTGGTGAAGATACGATTTTTCAACGTCCGTTCATCTCTTTCTCTTTCTCCTTTTTTAAAATTTTACTTGAAAATGGGATACAAAGAACACGATATAAACACGTGATGTAGTAGTGACTTGTAAATCATATGTAGAAGCTGCGATTAGAAACTTTAATTAGCACGTAGAAGCTAAATCGAGTCCAATGCTTTATGCGATATGTTTTTATACTTATGTTATTATAATTATTAATAATTATTAATAATTTATAAGATTTTTATTTTTCTCTGTTTAAAGAAATTTAAAGCTAAGCATTATTGCCAATAAAAAGTTTCGAATATATAAATAATCAAAGAGTTTACGGAATCTGCACCGATGTAACACGAAAATGCTTTTTTTTAATTTAATAGTAAAAGATAAATAGGAATTAAAAGAATATCCAATCATTTTCTATTAAAAACAAAAAAAATTATAATATTTAATTAATTAAGAAAGAAATATGTTAATTCTAATATTCATTTAATTAAGAAAGAGAATGCTAATTCTGGAACACGCTATATATCTATAATGCTTGATAAACACAATTCTTATCAGAATCTTTACAATCTAGCCTGCATTTGTCATCTTGCAGAACTAATCGTTGCGCAAAAGGTCATCAGTCATAAAAGTTTTGACTTATACGCGGCTTAAAAATACAAATACATCCATTTATAAACTTAAGATTTACACGCTTTCGATGATATTAATGAAACAACAATTAACGTATCGTATAATGTTATACCGCTCACATTCATATATAAAATAGTTAAAAAAAAAAAAGATATGATAGTTACATACTTATTGATTCTTTTTTAAATTCTTTTAACTATTTGAACAAAAAAAATTAATGCATTGTAATTGCTTTTACCATAAAAATGCTATATTATCATAAATGTTGAAAAACTATATTATGTAAAATTTTAATATGTGTGGAGGCTGATTCGCTTTGTCGAGCATGGCTAATGATATTCGACGATCTAATCGATCCTTATCATCTTACATAAATCGACTTTTAAGGAATTGTATAATATATTGAGATTCTACGCATTTTCATTTAATCTTTCGTAAGCGAAAAGCGCCAAATGAATTAACTAAGTTCGTTTCATTGAGAAGGATTTAATGTTTTGTGATTAAAAATTTTCAACAAAAACTCGAGAGATGATCTCGTTTGTCATTTCAAAACCAGGTTATAAAAAATTGATTATTGAAGAAAAAAAAATTTCTTTTTTATAGCCTCAATTACGAAGTTAAATGAAATAGAAATATTATACTCATAGTGTTGAGAAATATTAATAATTAAATATTATAAATATTATAAATATTATAAATATTATAAATGAATTATGAAGAAAAAGAGATAAGAGGCAAACTAGTGGGTAGTTTATTGCCTTTATTTTAGATACGTAACGGAGGACTAGGTGTTCGCGTTACCGTATTTCCGTTCCACTTAATAAATCGTCTCGTTAACGCGATAAGCGCGACTCGAAGGTAACGATGGGTTATCCGTAACTGCAATCGTTTATCCAAACTGAATTGAAAATTTTAAAGATGCGTCTTTTTATACATTCCACCAATATTTGCTTACAGTTTCCTGTGCCGGAATCGTCATTATAACATCATGCATCACCGAATAGACGAAAAAATTCTCAGTTACGGATTCTTTCTTACGTAATGCTTCCTTATGTATATAGTATGTGAAGACATATCAATCCTCAACACTTACGTTGTGAAATAATTTTCCATAAAAGTAGATAGAACATTTTATACCGTTTTATTATCTTTTGTTATTTTTATCTAACGCAAAGATAAGATGAGCTATTATCTTATAAATTTTTTTACAATTTTTTAATCAATGCTACAAATGGATGCTTAGAGCGGTTTAAGAACACAAATATATTCTTTACATTTATTATTATTGTTGGAGATGTGAATAATTTGATTTCGTGTACAAAAGTCTCGATCAATTCAAGAGTTAAATTTATTAAATGATTGATAATGATTAGATATAGTATTTTATTCGATATAACATCGCGATATAATATGTAAAAAAACATTCATAGATAGAGTAAATAGAATATAAAAAATCTAACTCGGTTAATCAGAAGCGATTTCAGAAATTACGATCGGTGTTTCTCACTTTATAGAAAATTATAACGTATCTAGTTCCTCCTGAGATAAATAATTAGTAACTGGCTTATCAGTGCTGTTCGCTCATCATTAAAAAAAATACATACAGAATGCCCCAAGAATCGATATTTTCTCTAAATTATACTGAAAATTTATTTTTTTTTGTTTCTTT